TGTCCACATGGGGGAGGCCATCTTCGACCACATGGGGGGCAGCCATCTTGTGTGTTGGAGTGATGGTCAATTTGCATATTACCTCTTCATTATATAGGATTTTGCTGAATAATGTTCCATTGTATGGATAGAACACACTTGTCTGTGAATCCATCAGTTGATGAACATTTGGGTTGTTTCCAATTTTTGGTTATTATAAAGAATGCCACTATTAACATAAGTGTATAAACTTTTGTGTGGGTATATGCTTTCATTTCCCTTGGTTATAAACCTAGGAGTGGGATTGCTGAGTTATATGGTAGCTCTATGTTTAACTGTTTTCCAAAGCAGCTGCCCCATTTCACATTCCACATGCAGAGTGCAAGGGTTCCAATTCTTCCACATTCTCCCCAACATTTGTTATTACCTATTACCCATCTTTGTTATTGTCACCATCCTAGTGGATGTGAAGTAGTATCTTATTTTGATTTGCATTTCTCTCATGGCTAATGATGTTGAGCATCTTTTCATGTGCTAATTGGTTATTGGTATATCTTCTTTGGAAAATCATCTATTCAGATCACTTGCCCATTTTTGTTGTTGTTATTGAGTTGTAATAAAAGTTTTATTACAACATTTAGATACAAGTGCCTTATCAGATATATGATTGCAAATATTTCTTCTTTTTTGTATATTCTCTTTTCACTTTCTTCATGGTGTAACTGAAGATACCTTTTAAAATTGTGGTTAAAAACACAACACTGAATTTATCATCTTAACCATTTTTAAATGTACATTTCAGTATATTTACATTGTTGTACAACAGATCTCTAGAGAGTAGAAGTTCAACTATCTTCCAAGGACCCAACACATTCATTCGCTGTTTTGGATGCTGTCAGTTAGATTGAAGACATTTTTATGTGGCCAAAATATTGGATCATTACACTTTCGGGTTTTGAAAATTGCTGTAATGAGATGTGTTACAAGGTCCAGAGACAGAACAAGGGAAGGTAAAGTTCAAATATCTGTTCAACCCTAGTAAGTTTTCTCAGTAGTTAGACTGTTGGCCCGGGGACCGAAGGGTCTCAGGTTCAATTCCTGGTCAAGGGCATGTACCTTGATTGCAGGCTCAATTTCCAGCCTTGGGGTTGGAGCACGTGTGGGAGGCGACCAATCCATGTCTCTCTTTCTCATATAGATGTTCTTCTCTTTAGCTCCCCTTCACTCCTTCTAAAAGTCAATGGAAAAAAATATCCTTGGGTGAGGATTAAAAAGGAGTATCTCTTCAATTTACCTCAAGATAATGAAAGGAATTTTTAAATATCTGTCTTATCTAAGGGCAGTACTGCTGTGTAAATTGATTGCGTCAGTATATCCTGATCTGCCAACAGTGATGGTCATGATTTTAAAACATTTAGTGGAAGACCATGACTCCTAAGTTAGGAGGCCTGCTGGAGTATTGGGTTCACCACGGACTATGTAATGGTGTGACAATGAGAAAGATCACTTAGTATGTCTGAGTGAAGACAAAGTGGAGGTGGCACCTCCTTCCCAGCACTTTGGTGAAGGTTCAATGGTGTTACGTACATGAAAACAATTTACAGATCACAAAGCAAAAATGTTTGAGAGGTGTTCTGTGCTGAACTGTGTCTCCTCAAAATTCATATGTTGAAACCTAACCACCCACCCACCCCCCACCCCTGTATATCAGTACGTGCCTGTGTTTGGAGATAGGGTCCTAAATAGGTGATTGGATTAAAATGAGGCCATTATGGTGGGCCCTAATCCATTCTGACTGGTTTCCTCATAGGAGGAGATTTGGTTACATAGAAACACCAGGATGCATGCACAGAGGAAAGACCATGTGAGGCGGGGAGAAGATGGCTATCTACAAGCCAGGAAGAAAGGCCTCAGTAGAAACCAACCCTACCCTTGATCTTAGACTCCAGAACTCTGAGACAACTAATTTCTGTTGTTTAAGCCTCGCAATAAGCGGTACATTGTTAAGGCAATTTGAGCAAACTAATACACACAGTCGAGTAGGAAATATAGAAAATAACAACACTGAAATATTCTTTTATTGATAAACTGGTAGCCCATTGCGCAATAATGCGCAGTAGGCTGCCCACTGCTTCCTCGGGAGCTGGCAGGAACCGCAGTGCACCGCCAGGAGCTGCGCTGCTTCCACCAGAGGCAGGAGGGAGCCGCGCTGATTCCGTGGGAGGTGGGAGGGAGTCAGGCCACTTCTGCTGGAGCATGGAGGGACTCGTGCAGATTCCGTGGGAGGTGGAAGGGACCCGCGCTGCTTCTGCGGGAGGCAGGCCCGCCGTCTCCTCTCCGGGCCTGTGCTCAGCTGCGGAGGCTGCAGGCCAGCCCCCTGTCCCTGTCCGTGTCTGTTCTGGCCAGAGCCGCCTCCAAGCCTTCATGATCAGGATCACGGGCTGCAGACTAGGCAGCTCCTGGGTCCCAGGGGTGCCGCCTTGCCTGCGGTCTGGCTTTCCGATCATGATCACCGGCTGGGGGAGGGCAAAGGCGCCCGGTTCTCCAATCCAGGGCCGCCTTTGCCCTGCCACCCGGCTCTTGCCTGCCACCTGGGTTTCTGACCGTTCTTCTGTCCTTCCCCTTTCGCCTCCCATCATTGCGCCTACATATGCAAATTAACCACCATCTTTGTTGGCAGTTAACTGCCATCTTTCTTGGCAGTTAATTTGCATATCACCCTGATTAGCCAATGGGAAGCGTAGCAAAGTTATGGTCAATTACCCTGTTTGTCTTTTATTAGATAGGAAGGGGCTACAGAATGGTGTAATAGAAATTGGATGGGGTTGGAAATCAGAGTTTTATTCTTGCTCCTCCACTGACTTATTTTGTAACTAGTGAGCTGTATGTCCTCTCTTTGCCTCAGTTTCCTAGAATCCTAGGGTTGGATGAAAGGCCTCAAAAGGCTATTCCAGCACAAACATTCTCTGACTCAAGCCCCCAGTCCTATATTTTACAGGTGATTCACTGACATTGGGAAAAGACAGGATAAGGCTTTTCTATCTTTGAGAAAAGCTTAAAGCCAGCAATTACAAATAAAATGGTATAGTTTAATTCAATTTCCAATTGCCTTTTAAAATAATGTTTAGAAGAACACCAATCCATTGCAAAACAACACAAACATTTAGCATTGTTTCTAAGACAAGATTCATGAACTTCCCCAAACCTGCCTTTCTGGAAAAATAGGGCAGCCCCACATTTAAACCTGAATAACACTTTTCAGCCTGGTCACCTCAAGAAGTAGGGCATGTCTGCAACCACAATCAGCTTGGGAATGAAAACTTGGAAGAAACTTTGCTCAAGGAAATGTTCTTGTCACCCACTAAAAAATGCTATGGGTCAAATCCTTCGCAGCTGAAATACTGATGGTAAAAGGTTCACTAGTACACAGGGAATTTTCAATGCCTTGAAAATTACCTGAATTTGGATCATTTCCTAGGGATTGGAAAACTTTTTTTTCCTGTAGAGATCTTGGTTTCAGTCAGGGATAATATTCAAAATATTTAACCACCCTCAAGGTTGAACACTGGCTATAAATAGCCTGGTCACACTGAGGGGCAATTTCAGCCCTGGCTTTCCATCCAAGTCAGTTGCATGCACTCCTTGGAATGCTGTTTTATCTCCACATTGCAGAAACTCATTGTGTATATTCTGAGCCTTCACAGGGCAAGGATATTTACTCTGTGAGTGCATGCATGCTTTCTATGTGTACGTGCATGCCTTTGCAGGTGCTGCAGCAGGAGGGAGGCATGGGAGGGCTGACTATCAGGCCTTCATAGGCTCTGGCTCTCCATGTACAGAATTATTCACAGGATATAATGGTTAATTTTATATGTCAACTTGACCACTGGATGCCCAGATATTTGATCAAACATTTCTCTAGATGTTTCTATGAAGTTGTGTCTGTATGAGATCAACATTGTAATGAGAAGGCTGAGAAAAGCAGATTGCCCTCCATAGGTGGGTGGACCGTACCTGATCGGTTGAGGCCTCAATTGAACAAAAGGCTGGCTTTCCTCCTCGAAGATGAACTTTGATCTGGGGACATTAGTCTTTTTCTGATTCCAGATTCGAACTGGAACATCGGCTCTTCCTGGAAATATACCAGTGGTTCTCCTGAGTCTCTGGTTTGCTGACTGCAGATCTTGGGATTTGTCAGCCTCCATAATTGCGTGAGCCAATTCTTTTTTTTTTTTTTTTTGTTAATCTTCACCTGAGGATATTTTTCCATTGATTTTCTTTTTTAGAGAGAGCGGAAGAGAAAGGGAAAGACAGAGAGAAACACATTGATTGGTTGCATCTTGCACAAGCCATGACCAGGGCCTGGGCCAGGGAGGAGCCTGCAACCCAGGTATGTGCCCTTGACGGGAATCGAACCTGGGACCCTTTGGTCCGCAGGCCGATACTCTATCCACTGAGCCAAACTGGCTAGGGCACGTGAGCCAATTTTTTACAATACATTTCTATATGTATACATCCTGTTAGTTCTGTTTCTTTGAAGGACCCTGACTATACAGGTTATGTTTCTTTAAAACTCATTCTGTTAGCAAGCTTTGAACACTCTTATTATTCAGGCTCAATCAGATTTTCTTTCTTTTTCTTTAAGAAAATAAAAACACCTTATCTTTAACTCAATATTCTTTTAAAATTATTTTTATTGATTTTTATATAGAGAGGAAGGGAGAGGGAGAGAGAGAGAGAAACATTGATGTGAGAATACAACATTGATCAGCTGCCTCCTGCACATCCCCCAGTGGGGATTGAGCCCGAAACATGGGCATGTGCCCATACTGGGACTCGAACCAGCAACCAACTGAGCCACATCAGCCAAGGCCCTTTAACTTAATATTTCAATATGTTCATTTTATTTGGCACTCCTTGAATACAATTATTCTTCTTTATTCTGTATAATTGTAATTCTATTTTATTTTTATTCCACAGGGTGGGAGTGAATGGTCAGTCCCTCAGGTAGTCTTGGTTTCTCAGTTTAGGCTTTCTTTCACCCTGTGGTGGTTGGATCCCTTGAACAAACTTTTGTTTTTCTTTCTTCTTTGCTTGAGAGTGTTTACTGTTTGAAAAGAGGAGATTTTCTTTAAAAATTCTAGGTGTTGCTATGAGCCTGCATTTCACACCCTCCCATAGTTCACTCATATTAATGAATACTGATGGGGCTGCAGGACTGAAGCGTATGGGGCTAGGAGCAGCTTTAGATTCACTCCTTTGTTGTCCCTGAACCACAAGCAAACACTTTCCTCTGGTCGCTTCAGGTGTGCCCCCCCCCGGCCCCCCACAGGTCCAGGGGGGTGGGTATGTGTGCAGGCTCCATGCTAAGCCCTCAGCAAATGTTATCTAACCCCTTCTTCCCCTATGAGGCAGGTGCTCTGACTACCCTACTTTGCAGCTGAAGAAGCTGAAGCTTAGGAGGTGCTTGGTGAAGGTCACCCCAATGTCATACAACTCATTTTGGCCTAGGTATAGATTTGAAGCCAGGTCAGTCCAAATCTTGTGCTCTGAGCTACTACCCAGCTCCCATCAGCACTGAGTCAGATCCTCTGGTTCTACATGTAGCTGAGATGCTCAGTGAGCCGCAGTCTCCTCTCCAGTTTCCCCAGAGGAGCTGGGTGACTGGAAGGAGATGTAAGAAGAGAGAGTCCTGGGTGGGGAATGCGATCGATATGGGGCATTCCAAGTTTAAGGTGCAGACATCATTCTAGAGATGCTCAGAAGATGTTAAATATGCAAGACAGAAACCCCAAAGCAGTCAGGGCTCACATGTGCATTATTTGCATGAAGGAAAAAGTAGAAGTGTGGGTTTAGGTGAGGTGGGCAGTGAGTGAGGTGTAGGAAAGAGAACTGGCAGGTTCTTGAGGGAGCATGAAGCCAGATAGAGGAAGGAGAGTAGGACAGAGCGGAGAGAGGAGAATCTGGCAGGCCAGGCTGCAATCTACTTGCCCCAGCTAGTCTGTTTGGTTTAACATCTCATTTCCAGGGCATTCTGCCCCAAAACCCAATGGGGGACCTTCTTAGAGCTTTGCTGGGCTTCTCCCCTCAGAGGCAGTTTGCTGGGGAACCATTCCTGTGATGTTATTTTGGGGAGGTCAAGGACTTTTGGTCCTTCCTGTCCAAGCATTGCTGTGGCCTGTACACCCAACTGCCATTCAAGGAGCTTCCATTGTCTACCGCCCCCCTCCCCCAAATATATAGGACCTGGATAACTTATAGGAGTGTCTTTAAGTGGAGAGGCCCCTGTCTTTAGACATTTGGGTTATAGGAGAGTTTATTGTTCTGATGTCAGAGCACTCAAATCCCAGGGAACTGGGAATTTGGCAAAGTCTCTCCTGAAATCTACATAAAAGCAACAGAAATTGGCTGGATGACAGTACAGTAGGTAAATTTTCAGCAGGTCGAGCCACCACTAATCTCCCTCTCAACCTCTGACTGTGTTGGACTGATCCTGTTGGGGGACAGGGTGCAGACCGTGGGGCCTGAGATTTTTGTGGCCCCAGACCTGGCTCTGGCACTGCAAAGTCTGAGGTGGGGAGAGCCCCACTTCAGAACAACAACTGGCCTGTGCCTGATGACAACTTGTACAACTGAGAGGTGTCTAGTAAGGTGCCCGAGATCCTATCCTCATTGGCATTTAAATGACAAGATGGTGGGCTTGTCGCATCAGGATGATCAGGGGCTTGGAGGAGCAGCCCATAGGATGAGTCAGGACCCCCAAATTTCCCAACAGGCTGGAACCAAGAGACACATCTGACCCCCCTTCCAAATGTGAGCTCCACAAGGGTAGGGGTCTCTGTGTCTATGGTGATGAATCCTGAGAACTTAGAATAGTTCCTGGTGCATGGGAGGTGCTCAATAAACATTGAAGGTTGAATTAAGGTGCCCAAGTTTAAATGTTTGGCCCTGCACTTGGACCTCCAAAAAGCCAACTGCATGTGGCTTAGCAATAGCACATTTACCAAATCCTTAGAAGTTTTCATTAACATTAGCTTGAAATTAATGGTGGGATGTATCCCCAGAACCAATGCCGTCTTAGAGTGTGTGGGCAGATGTGTGGGATGTAGCGTGCTGGAGATATTGAACCATCAACGTGATTGCGAAGTATAACTCAGAGAGGCTAGGAGGACGGAGGAGGATTAGCCTGGAGAAGAGGCTCAGAGGTATTCTGGAAAGTTCTGGGGAGAAGTCTGGAGCCAGGGGCAGAAGCCACAGGGGAAATGCACGGGCTAGCTTCAGCAATTGAAGTTGTATTTGAAAAGGCAGTGGGAAAGGGTGGGAGGCAAGGGACCCCCACTGATGTGAGACTCAGCCCCAAGTGGGAGGCCACCTTCATTGAGAGGCAGGTGTGACAGATGGTTTGGGGACCTTCCTGGGCCTGGTCATAGGGGCAGGCAACCACTACTATGTGGCCTCAAGCATCACAGTTATTCCTGGGAGAGTGAAGGGGCCCCTCAATAAGTCTGGCTGAGAAGGGAGAGTGGATGCCCATACATGGCCCATGACTCCTCAGATTTAGAGTTGAATGGGCCAGGTGTCCCTGCATTGACAACCACCAGGAAACTACGGTGGGGCTCACAGCTGGTCTACCCAGGGCTGAGTCATCTGCTTTTTCAGAGAGCTGTTCACAATCACACATGTCCCTTGAGTAGACACTTTACTTCTCTTCATACCAGCAAAAAAGAAAAGGCCCACATTTACCTATCACCAAGATGGTCCCAGGTTCCATTTACCTAAAGCTCTTTGTAGACTGTCAATAATATTTTCCAGGATTCTTAGGCTTTTAATCTGATTAAGTGTTTCTTTCTCCTCTTCTGTGGGAAAAATTAAGCACAATGATAAAAATTTGACAATTATGGTTTAATTCCAAACTCACGTTTTTCTTTTTAACTGGGCCATCTGGCTTTCAACCCTAAGTTCTTAGCTTCTCCCTTGCACTGTCTCCCAAGTTCCTGTGACCCACTATAAGCCTTTGATTCTCCTCCCCATCAGTTAGGAAAGGTGCTGGAAGCATCAACTGGATTTCCTTTGTCAATACTTACTCTGGTATTCATCAACAAGTACACAGAGGCTATGCATGTGCCTCTTTTTTCTTTATCTTCCACCCCCATATCATGAGATATCCATTAGGGTATGACAAGAATCACTAAGAAGCCAAATATAGAAGAACTAGAGGCCCGGTGCATGAAAATTGTGCATGGGTAGGGTCCCTAGGCCTGACTTGGGATCAGGGCTTGCCGGGAGCCAGTCCATCCTTGCTGTTTCAAAGGACCTGGCATATATGGCATACTGTTCTTAATATGTTTGCTCACCTTCTTGGCACTATGTGTTTTAACCAAGGTCTCTGAGAAAGGTTGTTTCCCCAGGTAGGGATTTTCCCCTGAAGTTAGGGAGGGAATAAAACCTCTTAACTAAGTGCCAGGTGGGTAATTAATCACTTTAACTATGAACAATCATGCTTAAGCTACATAATCTTTACTCCCTGGAATGGAGATAAGAAACGCCCTAACCTTTGTAATAGAGATTGATAGGATTGAATCAACTGGTATAAATACAGATGTAACAAGACAGTAAGACACAGAACTTAGAACACAGAACTTAGAACACAGAACTTAGAACACAGAACTTAGATTGAGAGAACATGGCAAAAGATCCTGGACTGAACCTGACTACAGAAATTGGCAAGAGAACCTGACTAGAACCTGGTGACTGAACCTGGCTGGAGAACCTGGACAGAACCTGGCTGGAGAACCTAGCGGGGGAACATGGCTACAGAACCTGGCTGGAGAACCTGGAGAACCTAGCAAGAGAACATGGACACAGAACCTGGCTGGAGATCCTAAGCAGAACCTCTCTGGAGATCCAGACCAGAACTTGGCTGGAGATCCTGGCTGGAGATCCTGGCTAGGCTGCTGATCAACTGAACGCTGTCTCCATGTCATTCCTTCTTCGCCGACTCCATCCACACCTTTGGGGACCCCTGGACCTGCTGGGGTTGGACCCCGGCATCTGGCGCCCGAACAGGGACCCCTAGGTAAGCCCCACTCTCGGGATGGATAGGACTCCACCGTAGGAAGAGGGTGGATAGTCTTCGCCGACTCCGTCCACACCTTTGGGAACTCCTGAAACAGGATTCCCCTAGGTAAGCCCCCCTCCCCATTAAGAACCCCCACACTCGGGACGGATAGGACTCCACCAGGGTGCTACAGACCCCCCTATAGAGGATAAGTAGGGTAAGAAGGTGGATAGTACAGAACTTAGATTGAGAAGATGTGCCATACTGAATCCAAAGAAAGAAAACTCTGTATTGATCTTTAGATTAAGAAGATATGCCATACTGAGTCTAAAGAAATAAGACTCTGTATTGATCTTTTAACACATATGCTTGTTAGCAGAGGAATTAAGGTTACTCCCAGTCAGACAGAACGTTTTATATAAGAAGTATGTCCATGCTTTTCTGAGGAAGGAAAGGTGCCGGAAAGGTAAATGTAAAGGCATGGGAGAAGGTAGGCCCAAGGAGCCTTATCCTTAACCCTACTGCAGCCTTTCCACCCCGGGAAAGTGTAGGATTGGCAAGTTCTCCCTGGGGTGATAGATCAGGACTCAGGTAATAGCGGAAAGTGCCAATCCTACTCTTAAAATGGATACAAGAGAGCATTTGGGGTTTTCCTTTTTAATGCCTGCTTTTAAAAAATAAAAAAGGGGGAATTTGCCAGGAGCCAGTCCATCCTTGCTGTTTCAAAGGACCTGGCATATATGGCATACTGTTCTTAATATGTTTGCTCACCTTCTTGGCACTATGTGTTTTAACCAAGGTCTCTGAGAAAGGTTGTTTCCCCAGGTAGGGATTTTCCCCTGAAGTTAGGGAGGGAATAAAACCTCTTAACTAGTGCCAGGTGGGTAATTAATCACTTTAACTACGAACAATCATGCTTAAGCTACATAATCTTTACTCCCTGGAATGGAGATAAGAAACGCCCTAACCTTTGTAATAGAGATTGGTAGGATTGAATCAACTGGTATAAATACAGATGTAGTAAGACAGCAAGAGATAGAACTTAGTATACGGAACCAAGAGAGACAGAACCTAGGCACAGAACCTACACAGAACTAGAGACAGAAGAACTTCGCTGGAGAGAACATGGCAAAAGATCCTGGACTGAACCTGACTACAGAAATGGGCAAGAGAACCTGACTAGAACCTGGTGACTGAACCTGGCTGGAGAACCTGGACTGAACCTGGCTGGAGAACCTAGCAAGAGAACATGGACACAGAACCTGGCTGGAGATCTGAAGCAGAACCTCTCTGGAGATCCAGACCAGAACTTGGCTGGAGATCCTGGCTAGGCTGCTGATCAACTGAACACTGTCTCCGTGTCCTTCCTTCTTCGCCGACTCCATCCACACCTTTGGGGACCCCTGGACCTGCTGGGGTTGGACCCCGGCAAGGGCTGATCTGTGGGGCAACTGTTAGGGTGATCAGGGGGCCCCTGCTGACACCCACCTTGGCCGACCTGGTGCTGCCTGCTCACTGGCCCCACCCCCAGCCTCCTCCTCCCCCCCCAGTTGCCTCCCTTTGCAGGGCAACCAGTGGGGTGATCGGGGGGACCCTGCTGGCATCTGCCTTGGCTGGCCTGGGGCCTGCAGGCTGGGGGCAGCTCCTGCATTGAGCGTCTGACTCCTGGTGGCCAGTGCATGTCATAGCGACTGGTCATTCAGCTGTTCGGTCAATTTGCATATTAGGCTTTTATTATATAGGATATGCTAAAAAATCAAATATCAGGAAAAGGCGATACCACTGTAAGTTCCATCATGCTTCTTACTAGTGTGAGAGAATAAGTCTAGCCCAGGAAATAGAGTCAGTGAGTTGCCAAAAGGTTCCCCTGCTCAGCATACTAAAAATCATAAGGAAATTTTCAAACTGATACGTTAAATCTGTGAGAAATCTATAGCCAACATCATACTTAATGACAAAAGGCTAAACTGTTTTCTATTGAGGTCTGGGAGAAGCCAAGAATGCTCATTTTCACCACTTCTATTTAAACCTTCCTAGAGGTCCTGGCAGTGCAATAAGACACGAAAAATAAACAAAAGGTATCCATGTCAGAAAGACAAATGTCCTTATTTGTAAATGTGATTGTTTACATAGAAAAATATTGGGGAACCTATAAAACAACTTCTATAGTATTAGTGTAGAGTACTGGGCCCAATACAATACCTCATCATTTTTTTTTTGAGGTAGAGCGTTTTAATTCTCTAACTTCTCCAATAGCAGCAGATCTCTGCCTGAGTCCTGACAGTGTGAGCATTTGCCACTCCTCTCTCTAAGGCAGAGGGTTTTATTTCTTCCCTTTCCCAGGATAAACAGAGAGAAGTTAGAGCTCTTCCATATAGTAGAAGTCTAACTAATCACTGTAGAAGGAATGATAGAAATAGATAAATCACTTTTTTGGCAACTACTACAGTCATAATTTTTAAAGGTAAATAGCAGTGGACGCTAAATTAATAGGTGAAAATATGATGAGGAATAGGACATTTTTATGGTCTGAAAGTACCTCCCAATAAGTACTAATTATTTACAAAGGAAAAATATATTAATTAACTTGATTATGGAGAAACCTCGTAGGCACAACCTTGAATAATTGAACAAGGTAATAAGATAGGTCTATGTCAAGCACATCCTCATGTACTGTACAAAGAAAAGCATAACATCACTTCAACATTCTTGCCAAAAATATATAACCAGAATCTAATCATTCAGACAATCTCAAACGGAAAGAGATTCTACAAAGTAACTAGGCAGTGCTCCTCAAGGTCATGAGAGATAAAGACACAACAGGGAACGCCCCCCGATTGGAGGAGACTAAAGTGACATGACAGTTAAATGCAAAGTGGAATCCTGGATGGATCCTAGAGCCAACAAAAAGCATTAGTAAGATAATTGGCAAAATTTAATCAGGTCTCTAGGCCATTTGACAGTATTGCATCATGTCAATGTCCTGGTTTTAGGAATTGTGCTCAGTCACGTAAGACGTTAGCACAGGAGAATACCAGGGGAAGGGAACACAGGAAATGCTTCGGGCTGTTTTCACAGAGTCTTTGGTAATTCTGAAAATATGTCAGAGTAGGAACTGTTTTAAATGCTCTCACTGTTTTTGTTTTATCTGTCCTTTTGTTTTCCTGTTACCTATTTCCCAGACATGCCAACATGAGTACCTATACACTGGGGATTATGCCCAGGTGAGCGCAAACACACACACACACACACACACACACACACACACACACACACACACAGCAGCAGCAGCAGCAGCAGCAACCCACTTCCGTTAATAGGTAGCCAGAGACAATCTGCCTCTCTACAACAACATTTCGCAAATAAATGTCTTTAATGCAGATGGACCAGCGTAATCTTTGCTGAGGATGTAATTAATTCTCCATCCTGCTCAGCAATTTCGTTCCTGTTCCCTCTGCGGCTTGGAGGCATTACAACAGGGAGTGAGGCAGCGACAGGCCTGCCTTGGTTTCCCTTCCCAGCAAGTGAAGAAGCAGCTCTCCCATGGGCCTGGGAGACTTCATCTGCATCCCTGTGGCACTATCCACTCATTCCCTGGCTCACTGTCACATCAGGCTTCCTGGCCATAGGCCACCTCACCCATTCAGGCTTCTATTGTGACCAAACAAAAATGCTAAGGCGTTTGTCTCCTCTAGCAAAACTCCAACTACCTCTTCATACCATGGCGATCAGTCCTGCCTGGGTGCCAGTGTCCAGTGTACCTACAGCCTGCTGCGTAATACAGGGCAATCCCTTAACCTAAGAGTGCCTCCGTTTCCCCATCTGAAAAACAGGAGCAGGACTAGAAGAATTTTATTCTCTAGCTGAAGCTGTTATGTCAGCATAGGAGTCCTTTACTAGCTGAATTATACTCAAATAGTCTAAATGATTACGATGAAAACACACACACACACACACACACACACACACACACACACACACACAGCCATAGCACAATGTTTCAGAGCTGCAGTCAATCTGATCTGCCCCGACCAATGCAGCTCTCCTGCCATTCACACCCATCTTCACGTCCTTCAGCCTAAGGATGAGGGGCAGAACATTGCTTAAGAGATGGGTCTGGCCCTAGCCGGCTTGGCTTAGTGGATGGAGCATCGGCCTGCGGACTGAAGGGTCCCAGGTTCGATTCCGGCCAAGGGCACATGCCTGGGTTGCGGGCTTGTTCCCCAGTGGGGGGTGTGCGGGAGGCAGCCAATCAATGATTCTCTCTTATCATTGATGTTTCTATCCCTCTCTCCTTCTCCCTTCCTCTCTGAAATCAATAAAGAAATATAATTAAAAAAAAAAAAAAAGAGATGGGTCTGCCTGGGTGTCAGGGAGTCGCCAGCGCTGCCTGTGTGTTTTTAATTCATGATCAGCACACGGAAGGCGGGCATGCCACTGGTATCTGCACACTATGTGCACAGTCTAAGAAAGCCCCAATGCTGTGGATGTAAGTCCTTTAAAGAGCACACGCCACAAGCTTTTCCAGAGTCCCCTGTGCCTTTTCAGCCAAGCAGAAAGGGGCAGGGTGGTAAGCTGAAGAGCCCGGCTTGCTGCCTCTGGCCCGAGAATTCTTTTTTTTTTTTTTTAAATATATTTTATTGATTTTTTACAGAGAGGAAGGGAGAGAGATAGAGAGTTAGAAACATCGATGAGAGAGAAACATCGATCAGCTGCCTCCTGCACATCTTCTACTGGGGATGTGCCCGCAACCCAAGTACATGCCCTTGACCGGAATCGAACCTGGGACCTTTCAGTCCGCAGGCCGACGCTCTATCCACTGAGCCAAACCGGTTTCGGCCCGAGCATTCTTTTAGAAACAATAATAACAATGAGCCTGACACCCAGCATTATAAAAGGGCAGACAAGGGCGCGTCTTGGAACCAAATGTGCATTTGCAGCCTCGCTGGTTGACCATGTCACTTACTAGAACCCTGGGCTTTCTGGGGTCTGGCCTCATTTCATTTGCTACACATCTCTATCTCGTGTGCTAAATCTCAGGGACCCCCACGACTTGGCTCTGGGCTCACCAATGGTCTGGGCTTGTGCCAGTCGCAGCCCCTGGCTCTTAGGCTTTTTGTCAAGAAGCTGGTGGGTCCAAAGCAGGATCAGTGGGCCACCATCCCCTCTGCTCCTGGGGCAACCACCTGAAGAACAGCTGCTCCAGAGGTGGGGTCTTTGCATCCCAAGAACTGGTGGGTGGCCCAGAAGGCTCTGCTCACAGAGCTGCTACTGGGACCAATGGCCAAAAGCAATGGCATTCTGGGTTTTCCCTTCATTCGTATCAGTTCATTAAGAGTAGAGCAGGTATTGTACGCTATGGTGACCTGAGGACACTGCTCTCTGTTCCCCTGCTCTTCCTTCTTCTTGGCAACCCTGACACCACCTCCTCCCTGGCCCCAGACTATAGGTTAGCTTCTGTTTGGCCCCAAATCCCCTCCTAGGCTGGCCCTTGCCCATCCCTCCCAAGACTCTGAACTTAACCTCTATTTTCTCTCAGTCCCTGAAGTGGCTGGTCTCGGCTTGGTGGATAGGAGAAAAACAATTCAATTAAACAGATTCCTTTACAGCAAAGTGTGGCCTTTGCCTTGGGGCCCAGAGAAATCTAGTGGCAGCTCAGAGGGCCACTCAGAGAGCAAGGGCTCTGCGGAGGCCCCCAGACCAGTCTCAGGACTGAGCAGAGGATCAGGGATGACAAACACAGTAGTGCTGGGCAGTCCTGCACCCATGACAGATTTGGAAATTTCATGGTCCCTGTGAAGACCCTGGTGACTGGTTCATTTTTTCTCCTTCATCTCTTACCCCTGATTCAGACTCTTCCCACTGGTCTCTCATTCTCAGCCTGTCTCAGACTTTTCAGTCCATCCTTACTTCCTCCTGCTTCTTTAGGGAATGAGTACAATGCAGAGAGATTGTGTTCTTGAGACCGGTTCATGGGCGGTCCATTCAGTAGAGACCCACCTTGTCACCTCTCCTGTTGTGGGCCCACTGCCATAAAGATGTCCAGCCCTATTTAATTTATAACCATCTGGCAACTGGCAGACGTCAGTGGGTGGGACAAATCCAGAGGCGTTAGAAATATTACTTTCAACTAGAACCTTATTCTTGTTCAGTCCTTGCAAACACAAGAGGCTGGCTCCCCAGAGAAGGCTATTTGGAGGAATGGACTGAACTGCAGGTTCCGGCAGAGTCACTCGGTGGAGCCTGGGGGCATGTATTTGAGTCAGCTCCCCTTCCTGCGCCTGCTATACCATCAGGCTTGGGAGCTGCAACCTGGACTTCCTCTAGGTCCACCACGGGGTCTCAGAGGGGTGTCCTAAGAGCTGCGCAGGTGTCCTTTCTTGTTGAGTCTTTAGGGTAAAGACAAGATCTGTCACCCATGGGATGCTGGCTCCTTAGTCCTGGAGCCTTGACACAGTGCTTTTCATTTCAGCAAACTTGTCTGTTTCCCCCACTCCTGGGGACATCCTGGGGGACACTCTGGGCCCAGCCCAGGAGAGGAGCAGTGACTTAACTGAAACTTTGGGAGGGGATGGGCAGTGTGACAGCGCCTTCCTTGCCCTCTGGCCCCCGCCTGCCTGCAGGGACGACATTCCTGCCAGCTCCTCTAGGCCCTAGTTTTCCAGGGTCTGACCCATGAGCAGGGGTGGGGGCTGGCTGTCCCTCAGCCCTGAAAGAGACGGGAAATCTGCCTGACCTGGTGAAGCAGCTATGACCCCCATCCTCCATCCTCCACACTCTACATTCTCTAACAAGGAGCCATCAGGCCCCTCTGTGCTCCCCACCAGCCTCTGAACTCAGGCAAGGGAATTACCAGGTTGCACTTACCATTAAGGAAAAGTATGTCTTCATTCCCGGAAGAGAATGTCTTTTCATGATGCTTATCAGTATCAGTCTGATCATTGGTTTTAATATGGGCTTTTTTGATGAAGAGCATGGGGGGGGGGGGGGGCGGAAATGGAGAAAAACATAAATGTATACTTTCATGAACATTTTGGTCCAAACTTTATTTTAAAACGTTAGGGTGGAATGCTAATAGAGTTTCCACTGGAAATGTGTGTTGGAAAGTTAATGTGTAACCAGAGAGTCAGGCATCGCCTGAGTGCCTTGAACCAGCAGTTGGGTCTGGGTGGATGTTGGTGAGCTAGTGCCAGGACTTAGAATTTATGTCTGGATGCAAACTTTCAAGAAAAAGCTGGACTCCCCTGCTGCTTTGTGCATTTTCATGCTCTGTGTGTAGATTTCTGGTGCCCTGCTTTCTCCTTAGCAGGTGTCAACCAAATATTCTGTCTTGGTTCTCAGTGCGCTACTTTATTAACATGAAGCTACACTTTGAAAAAGCACATTCTTTGCTTTTATTCTCTACTAGCAGTGTGGCCTTGGGCACGTCCTTTTTCAGACCTTAGTTTGATCCCATCAAATGGGGTCATGGTCATTGCCCTGCTCTCTAAGAAGCTTAGGTGAGCATCACACATGCTGGCTTATGGGAAGTTCCCATTTTCCTGTGCCCCCTGTTTCTGCAGTGGTGGAGCCCATTTTCCTCCCAAACCCAAGGCCTTGCTTGCCCATGCACCCCAGAGACCACTCCAAAATTAAGTGAACTTGTTTCTGCCGGTCTAGGTTTTTATAGACATGGTTTGGGACAACCACTTCGGTCACATCTCTATTTGCTTTTGCTCCAGAAGTAGCTGCCTTAAGAATGCTAAAATGATGGGATTGTGCTTTATGCCCATTGATTTTTTTTTTTAGCAAGTGGAAGGGAGGGAGGGAGGGAGGAAGGGCGAGGGAGAGAGAGAGAAAGAAAGAGAGAGAGAGAGAGAGGAGAAAGACACATCAATTGGTTGCTTCCTGCAGGAGCCCTGACCAGGGCTGGGGATCAAAACCCAAGACCCTTAGGCCCGAGGGCTGATGCTCTAACCCCTGAGCAAACCGGCCAGGATGCGATTGTGCATTTAATACCATAGACCCCTAGGAATACATGCAATTAAGAGTTTAAAAACATGTATACTTGCTTTTTTCTTTGTACTCTTCATTGGCTTTTGTTGTGGTCTTTGTGTTTCAAACAATATTGATTTATCTGGACCCAGAAACTCTTGGACTAGAATTTCATCTTGGGAAAAGCACACAAGGATATGTTAAAGCCAGTGGCGCAGAACCCGCACCTTTTTGCTCTACACGGCAGCTCTGCGAAATCTGTGACTGGAGGCAGGAAATCAGTGACTCCACGGGTAGGGGAACTGACCTTCTATAGTAGTTTTTTCCTTGTTCTGCTCACCTGAGGATATGTTTATTGATTATTATTTTAGAGAGAAACATTGACCGGTTGCCTCTGATACAGACCCCAAGCAGGGATTGACCCACAACCTAGGTGTGTGACCTGATTGGGAATCAAACCTGCAGCCTTTGGGTGTATGGAACAACGCCCCAAACAACTGAGCTACCCAGCCAGGGCAAGGGTAGGCTTTCCTTTCCTTTTTTAAATAATTCTTTATTGTTGAAAGTATTACATTACATATGTCCCCCCCCCCTCATTGACCCCACCCAGCCCACCCTCCCCACCTTGCCCCTTGTCCCAGACCCTCACTGCCCCATTGTCTGTGTCCATGGCCATGCATACATGCACACAAGATCCTTGGTTGATGACCTCCCACCCACCCAGAAGTTGGCTTTCTTTCTTTTTTTTTTTTATTTCTTTATTGGTTAAGGTATTACAAACGTGTCCTCATTTCCCATTAACCCCCAACCTCCTCGCGCCCCGCCCCCCCCAACTCATGCTCTCATAGGAGTTGGCTTTCTAAAGAAACTTGTCTGAGGAGGAAGGGCCTCCCTAACTAATAAACCTGAGACCATTCAGATTCCCTGAGTAATAAACATTGACCCCCAAAGATATGAGGCTGGAAGCGTGGCCTCGGGCATAGTTATAATTTCCTTCCTGCCCCTGTTGTCATTCTGTCCCCACCTTGAGCCTTTCCCCAAGCTGTCCCTGTGTTTGCACAAATGTCTTTTCTAGTTGCTACATAATGTGGCATGTTGTTCCTCTTATATCCTTCTGACCTCTCCTAGGAAGATTATAACTTAGTCTAGGCAGGGCTTTATGTTGGACAGACTTGACCCACATTCTGGTTCTACCCTCATGGGAATGTGCGTTTGACAAGTTCCTCTCTGACTTTCGGTTTTGTCTTCTGTAAAATGGAGTCTATATTACATCAGACTTTTATGAGGTTAAAATAAAGCAGTACATATGAGCATTAATATATAGCCTGGGACAATGGCAGCTATGAGTCCCCCTGTATCAGCAACACAATGGTCACCCTGACCATCTCCTCATCTCTGCAACACAATGGGCACCCTAAACAGCCCCCATTTCTGCAACACAGAGTGGTCATGCTGACCGGGACCCTTCATCTGTGTAATACAATGGTTACGCTGACCAGCACCCCCATAACTGCAACACAATAGACATCCTGACCAGCCAGTCCACATGTTGGGTTGGGCTGAGGGCAACCAACCTGCCCTGGTTTGCCCTGATTTTCCTGGTTTAGCATGAATGTCCCACATCTTGGGAACTCCACAGCCTCATGCAAAGCAGACTGGTCACCCCAGCTCCCACTCATGTGGAATACACGAATAAAGGGGATGAAGAACTAAATATCACTGGAAGCAATGGTGTCACAAACATACATGGGGTAATACTCTTCCATGGTTCTGTCGCATTCCCACTCAACAGCCATGTTCTCCTTCCTCCACCACAGAACCTTAACCTGGCGGGGGCGATGTATGCACCCCAGGTGGGTCCTTTGAGAACCTTGAGGAGCGGGTGGGCTATGGGACATGCAAAGGTAAGCGGGAGTCTCTGGGCTCTGTGAAGAATCTAGCTTTTCCTGATAAAAGGGAAATGGTGTCTGGACTGTATGCACCCCTGAGTTTTTCTGCCCTGGAAGTGGCCATGATGTCTGGAGCTGTGGACTCCATGTGTGACCCTGGGACACGAGCTCAAGGAATGGCCAGGGTGACCACAGGGATAAAGCCTCATGTCATTGAGCTGCTGATGATGCAGGATCACAACCCCTGCATGGCTGAGCCACTGTCACTCAGATTCTGCTCATGAAGCCAGTCGCAGTCTTAGCTGGTGCAGCTGCTCTGGCAATACCTGCTTCCACCTTGACAAGACCTTGGCCACTCTCTGAGCCAGCTATTATACAGAAGAACCAATTTTAAGTTCCTAAAAAATCATGGTGTCTAGTTAGATTCTGGGTCATGGAGAAGAATAGATGTTGAGGGGAACCACAAGCATTTATTGAGCACCTATTGTGGACCAGAAACTGTCCAAGTGCTGAAGGATCAAGGATGAGCCAGCTCTGGTCCCTGGCCTCTGTCTTGAGCAGGCCAGCTGTGTGTGAAAGGTGGGATTCTACAGATGTGACCACACAGCATGCTTCAGCTGTAAGAGAGAACGGGGACAGGTAGGGACAGGCAGGGGACAGGAGCTTGGCTGACCAGAGCAAAGCAGTGGGAGTTCCTGGATTCCATCTGCTCCATGCAGGAAGCAGGGGGCGGTCTCCTGGAGATACTAAAGGCCGTGAGCTATGGGGTCATGGGAATGTGATTTTAGCCTCAAATCAAATCACCTCCACCTTTTGCACTTTGCAGCAGGTTTTCTGGAAAACACCCGCTGACCAATCACCCAAGCCCATCCAAACACAAACCAGGTGTTTGGTAAGAAGAGGCTCCTTACCAAATATCCCAGGTATATCCTCCTGAGGTTCTGATTTCCATGACGTTTCAGAAGCTGGACCTAGTGAAGTAATAAAAACCCTAATAGTTTAACCATATTCATTGAATCTGCACTGACCTCTAAATAGATTTTCTTTTGCAGAGCCCTGCATGGAGCTCCTGTGTCTGGGTTCTCACCGGGAAACTGGTGGCCAAGGTGGCCTCCCTGTCCTCTGTCCCATTTCTCAATATGTAAGGGGTCAGGATAAAGGAGCCAGAGCCAAAGGCCTATGGGTGCTGCTTGGGTGTGATTAGAACCAACCACCTGCAGAAGGTCATTCTGAGACCACAGGGGAGATTTTAAATGGGCTGGGTATTAGCCAATATTCGCTTGTTTGCAGGATTTTTGAAACCCTTGTCAGTGTTTAATGACATTGTAGACATATACAAATAAAAAGGTTCTTATCTTAGCAAGAAAACATTTTCATAAAATGATAAGACATCTTGGACAGTGCTAAAATACTCCCAGGAACAACAAATGTGTCTATGTGCGTATAGAAAAAAACAAGATGGCAAAACATATATAATTGAAAGCAGGTGATGGAGGTTCTTTATACTGTTCCTCTACTTTTGGGTAAGTTAGAACATTTCCATAATAAATAGTTATATACAGCCTTGCTGGCGTGGCTCAGTGGTTGAGCCATCGACCTATGAACCAGGAGATCCCCATTCAATTCCGGTCAAGGACACATACCCGGGTTGTGGGCTCAATCCCCAGTATGGGGCATGCAGGAGGCAGCTGATCAATGATTCTCTCTCATCATTGATGTTTCTCTTTCTCTCTCTCCCTCTCCCTCTCTAAAATCACACACACACACACACACACACACACACACACACACACACACATTTCCATAATAAACAGCATACATAATGTATGCTACTCTCCCACTGAGTACCAGATTTTAAAAAGGGCTTGAATTTACTCTGTTCCCCTGGGAATAAGTGGTAAATGTGGGGAGATGGGGGAGAAGGGACCTGTGGCAGAAAGCGACCACCTGCCTGATTCAGGCCCCAGGGAGGAAGGAGCGTGTTTCCTACCTGCCACATGATCCACTGCGACTGTACCTGAAAATATGTTCATTGACTGGACCTCAGCTTCTTGCCAGCAGCACAGCAGCAGGACAAAGAGGGTCGCTCCTCTATTCGCTGCCATGTTCCCTCAGCCGAAGGAGGAGGACTTCCTTCTGAGGCCCCTCAGCGCCCCTCACCTTCGTAGCCAGGATACTGTGGAATGCTTGGGGGCCTGTGACATCACAGCAGGAAGTGAGTTGGGCCCTGCCCGGTGGGTGGGAGACAGGATCTGTGACTGGGAAGAGAGTGGGGCCTGACTGAGCCATGAACGGAGGCCTTCATAGGAGATGAAGATTTGAAGAATCAGTTGGGCCAAAGTATTTTCATGCTAGGTTTGATGAAGAGTGGACCGTTGTGGGGGACTCTGAAAGGTCAAAGAGTATGAGGTAAGCGTGTCAGGGAAACTCAGCAAAGCTTGTTCGTTAGGATTCTCTTTGGTGTCCCTTGTCTTGGGAGAGTCAAGCCAAACTCTCAGGACACAAAACAGGATGGAAGGAGAATCCCATCATCATTTTTATTAGTGACTCACAGAAAAGTTTAACCAAATGGATGCCGGTCTGGTGAGAACCGTAAACTCACTGGTCGGTAAGGCTGCCTTGAACAACAGCTTATAGGACCTAAGCCTATGTTGTTACCTATGATTCTCCTTTTTATGACAAAGGACACCAAGGACAGAGACAAAGGAAAACAACGGCTACCCCCGGAAGGGAAAAGATCAATAATAAGAATACTCAAACTCAGATTCGTAAGAATCATGTCAAATAACTATTATTTTTTTAAAAATATTTTTATTGATTTTAGAGAGGGAGAGAAACATCAGTGATGAGAGAGAATCATTGATTGGCCCGGGCTTGTGCCTTGACCAGGAATCAAACCGCAATCTCCTGGTTTGTAGGTCAACGCTCAACCATGGAGCCACGCCCAGTTGGGCCAAGGAACTAATTATTACAATGTGTTCTCTGAATCCAGATTTGGAAAGGAAAAGATAAGCAGTAGCTCTTGGCACTCTCACTTGACCAGACTCTGAGCAGAAGTCCAGAAGGCTGACTTGGTAAGTATTTCTACCTTCACAGCTTTTTCAGGTGTGCCGAGACCTCAATTACAGGAGTGCGTGGCAGATTACTCCCCCAGCTCATCTTTGTTGCCAAAACCATCAAGGAGGAAACACTTTTCATCTACCCTCTTGGGTTCTGAGGCCTGCAAATTGAACTATCAAGAGATAGAGTAACAGGAGAAAGGTATGGCATTTTTATCAATATTTACATGCATGGGAGTTCACAGAAAAGTGACTCTCAAAGAAGTAGTTAGACTTGGGGACTTATGTACAATTTTAACAAAGAAGAGGGGGTTTAGACCTCAAGGGATGATAAATGATGGGAAAGCGACTAAGAAATACACAGGGGAACTTAATGGAAGACAAGGGGTGTTTATGTAAATTCTCAGTGTGGGCTCTTCATTTCTACCACCAAGAGTGCTCCCCCTTCCTGGTATGGGTGAGGGTGCCACCTTCACAAAGGGAGACTTATATGACTTTGCCCGTAAGCTTTTAAGGAGAGGGCACAGAGCTTTTCCTCTATCTGTGATTTTTGATCGCCTTCAGCTCAAAATAATCCTAAATGGTATATTTTGGGGTGACATACTCTGTTACCCTTCAGCCATTAAACAGTTTGTTCTTATGTCACCAATTTTCCCAATAAAAGATCATTTTCAAAGCGCAGTTGCAGTTGTTTTTGTTGCCAGTGGAAACGGGGTCCCTGCGGTGTCACATAAAAGCATCTCGGGGGCCACGCACGGGAGGATGAGATATGGTGGTAAGATTGACCGGGGTTGGAATGGAAGGCTGCCCCCAGGCTCCCGGGGTCTCATCCCCACCCGCCCCGCTGTGGGAAATGTCCAGCCTTGTCTTCATCAGGCCCAGAAACTCTCTGCCAGGCCAAGGCTTTAGTTCAGTTTAGTCTCTGTCCCCATCCAGCTTGGTCTGTTTCCCACTGCGCTTTGGCTGGCGCCATGTCCAGACCCACCATTGGAGCCCCTGCCTGGAGTCTGCTCGGCTGCCAGGCCCTCATGGCTGCTATGGAGAGAGAACATGCGAGTGCACAGGGCAAGCCTGTGGAGGGGGGTGGGAGAGAAGAAAAAGGAGGAGGAGGAGGAGGAGGAGGAGGAGGAGGAGGAGGAGGAGGAGGAGGAGGAGGAGAGAAGGTTGAGCCCTTTTTAAAGTCTGGAGCTCCATGGGAGAGTAGAATACATAATGTATTTTAACTTTTAAAAATATATTTTTATTGATTTCAGAGAGGAAGGGAGAGGGAGAAAGAGAAAGAGAAACATCAATGATGAGAGAGAATCATTGATCGGCTGCCTCCTGCACACCCCACACTGGGAACTGAGCCCACAACCCAGGTATGTGTTCTGACCTGAATCGAATGGGGATCTCCTGGTTCATAGGTTGATGGCTCAACCACTGTGCCATGCCGGTGGGGCTGTATTTTAACTTTTTATTATGGAAATGTTCTAACTTACCCAAAAGTAGAGGAAGAGTATAAAGAACCTCCATCACCTGGCTTCAATTATATATGTTTTTTCATCTTGTATTTTTTTTTTTTTCAGGGCAAGCACCACACCTTCTTTGTTTTTTAAAATGTCACTCCCTTTTGGCAACCATCAACTTGTTCTTCCTATCTATACCTTGGTCTATTTCTGTCTTGTTTATTTATTTATTTTTTGGTTTTAGATTCTACATATAAATGAAATCACATAGAATTTGTCTTTCTCTGACTTATTGCACTTAGCATAATATCCTCTGGGTTTGTCCATGATGTCGCATTAGCAAGATTTTATTCTTTTTTCTTGCTAAGTAATATTCCACTTTGTATGCCACATCTTTATCCGCATATTCACCATGCCTACGTAGGGTGTGGTGGTTCTCAATCTGTATATCCCTTTAACTGCACCGGGGGACCTGGTGACACTGGCATGAGGATGTTCAAAGCTCTGCAGTGTTTCTGATGTGCAGCAATGCTTGAGCTGGTTTGCCCACCCTCTGATCCCCTGCAGCACCAACCAAGCTTGAATGGGACAACTGCGGAGTTTGTTCTAAAGGTTAGGAGTGAATTCAGAGAGCCTCCCTATTCTGCACCAGCTTTGCTTACCAAATCTCCCCTTCAAATATTCACACTCCTCTTTGCAATATGAGACTCTGAGAAAGTCTGTAGTACAGAAGTCTGTCTAACCTTACTCTCTATTCAGTGTTTTCCAAACTTAACATCAAATTGGTGTTATCCTATATAATAAAAACCTAATATGCAAGTTGACCGAACAGCAGAACAACTGATTGCTATGACACTCACTGACCACCAGGGGGTAGACGCTCAAGACAGGAGCTGCTCCCTGATGGTCAGTGAACTCCCACAGGGGGAACACAGCTCATCCAGAAGCTGGGCTCATGGCTGGCGAGTGCAGTGGCAGTGGTGGGAGCCGCTCCTGTCTCCAGGGCAGCCCTATGGAGCAGCAAGCAGGCAGGGGGTAAGAAGCCAGGGGTCCCAGACTGCAAGAGGTTACAGGGCACGAATGTCATGCACCGGGCCTCTAGTAATAATATATGTGCATTTTTATTAATATATGAAACTAGGGGCACACTGCATGAATTCATGCACCTTGAAAGGAACTGAGCCATGAGGCTGTGGTGGGCACAGGGGCAGGTTTTGACCCATCCTCCGCACCCCCACCCAGCCCCTTCTGCCACAAACCCTGGTCCCCTGTCTGCCAGCAGCTCTGCTCCCACTGCCACACCCATGTGCTGATGGCACCAGCCCCACTCACACAGTGATTGGGGCTGGTGCCAGCAGTGGGTGTAAGCGGGGCTGGTGCCATCAGCAGGTGTGAGTGATGGCTGCTGCCCTGATCGCACCTCAGGAGCAGGGGGAGGTGGAGAAGCCCTCAGGGGCGATTAGGGCTGGCAGCCACAGCTCGCACCCGCTGATGGCACTGAGTGATTGGGACTGGTGTTGGGCGCCGGCAACGGTGGCTCCGGTGCCAGCTGCAGGTGTGAGTGGTGGCTCTGGTGCCGACAGCGGGTATGAGAAGGGCCGGCACTGGTAGCAGGTGCAAGTGCCAGGTGGGACCGTGGCATGTAGGAGCAAAGAATTTTCAGTAACCACCAGAGGCTCACCCCAATGACAGCAACTGGTGCCCTGCCTTGGTGTGGCACCCCCACTCACCTGCTCCACCATCCTGCCGCGGCCAATGTTCACCATGTTCCACACCCCCCCGGAGGTCAGTGCACATCATAGCGACCAGTTGTTCGGTTGTTCTGGTTGTTCCACCATTCAGACTATTTGCATATTAGCCTTTTATTATATAGGATAATAAGAAATAGCAGCTATTTCAAGGTATGTGCAACAACTTAACATCAATGTAAAAATGCCAGGGCTGACCGGCAGACCCTGAGCAACGGATGAATGATTACTCTGACACATGTTTCTGTGAAAGAGAGGGCTAAGGGGCTGTTTGGGTATAGGAATCAAACAGCCCTGTTCACCTGCCTCCTTAGGCTTTTATTGTAGCAACAGCTTGAACTAAAATTAACTACTAGATACTATCAGCAGGGTAAGTATATTTGAGAAAATACGTGTATCTATAGTGTCTTTTAAACAAGGACGTTTAAAGAATAAACAAAGATTCCAGCAAAACACCCAGGGGGCTCAGACTTGTTTGGAAAAGTCAAGGTAGGGTCTGCCACCTTCGGCAAGGTCCCCCTAGAGGCCTCCCACCTTTCGGAGAATCCTCCTTACAGACTTTCCAACTAAGTCCTGTGCTTCCCCACATAAAAATACAGGATTTTATTTGTGACAAAATCACATTATAAATGTAATTTGCATTTATAATCAAAGAAAAAGCTAAATTTCAGATATAGACAATGCAAATAAGGCATAATTACCTTCCTTCCAAGTTCACAGACCCCTCTGCATTCTGTGCTTGTGGACTCTAAGTCCAGAAACCCTAAGAACAAAACTCACAATAAATGTCTTACAATAAACTGACCCTGATACCATGGAATGGAGCTAGTTTTCTGCAGAATTATCACAG